ACAAGAAACTGTGCCTGGGCCACTTGGAGAAGGGCAGTGTTAAATGCCGCAAATGAAAATGACTCTTCATGGGGCTGGCGCAGTACAGGGAGCGTTTTGTACCACAGTGCAGATGGGGGTCCTCTTCCCTTCCCCTAATGTCTCCTCCTACACCTTACAGTCATCTGGAAAGCTCCAGGTTGTACAAGGAACACAGGCAATGGGTGCAAAAAACCAGCACCGGTGTCTGTCTGCTCATGACACCACGATTTATGAGTGTTTGACCACACCAAGACCACTCCAAGGCCCATGCTGGGAGCTATTCCCAGCCTGTCTAAATCCCTCCAGGTACCAGAGGCCTCTCACATGTCTCCCTGTGGCTCTGCCACTGGGCTTGTTCTAGCACTGTACATGTGTATTCTCCAGGCTGTGCTGCTCCTGGGCAGGGGAACCACGAGCTTGAGGAGGACACTCAAGCCCAGGAAGGCCAGGGCACGTGGCTAAAGCAGCAGCCAATGTCCCCGGCTCAGCTGAGCAGGACAGCTTTGCAAAGCAGGTGTGATGCCAGAGCAAGAAGCCCCTGTGGGTGAAGATGCAGCCTGCAGCTGCAGCCAGCTGGAGAAGGTGAGAGGACCATGACCTGGAGGGAGCTGACTCCATGAACTGGATGCCTGGCCAATGCTCCTTAAAGCTTTAAGCTTTTACCATTTAATCCTCTGTTGCTGGTGCTGGTGGGTTCCTGCCTCTCGCAAAGATGAGCAGGAACGTGTATGGGGGAGAGGAGCCGCGGGAAGGGAAGAGTTAAGAGAATGGATCTGCCCCGGGTTTGGGTGCCTTTATATCCTTAGGAAGCACCTCCCTCCAGCTCTTCTGACAAGGGTTTGCCTCCTGAGGCTTGGGGCAGCCGGGAGTCAGCCACAGCCGGGCTGCGGGGAGCAGAGAGAAGGTGAGATGGGGCCTTGCTTTTATTCACAACAGAGAAACAAAGAGCAACATACAAAGAGTAAGAAGCAAAAAAGTACAGAATCATAACCATAGTAATCATAATAATAATAATCATAAATACTCAAATCTATCATTCATAGATTGCAATGACAACACTGATAGCTTATTATCATTAGTATTAAGAATGGGAGGGTAAAGGGGACAGCAGGAGGGGTTTCTGAGGGGCATTGTCTCCTAAGGGGCAGATGTAACGGGGATGGACATCCAAAGAAACAAGCAGACAAAGGGAAGGGCTGGGAAAGCAGCAGGGGCTGGGGGTGCTGCTGCTGAGGCCAGGGACGAGCCTGCTCTGACCCAAGCCTCTGGCTCAGTGTTGCCAACCTGATCACTGCCCTCCTGCCAGCTTTGCTCAGCTGGGACAGAGGTGGCCGGGAGGCTCAGCCCTGAGGACAGGCAGAGGCTGGAGGGAAAGGAGCAAAATGTCCTTTCTAGTCTGAAGGAGAGCTGTGATTTGCTCAGTCCTTCATGTGGTGGTAAGTGCAGGCATTGCCATCGGATACTCAGCAGCTTTGTTGGTTCCTCCCTTGAAAGAAGAGACCTTTCCTCTCCTCTGCTCACACTTCCACCTCTGTAGGTCCCTACAAATGAATGCACCCTCATCAGATCGGCATGGAAATGTGATTTTTGGTTCCAGTGAAGCTTTGGGATGGGTCAGCTGGCTGTGACAGCCCACAAAAAATAATTGGCTGACAGATGATGTGGAGGATTACCACCCAGCACATCCGTCCTCATGACAATTTACAGCTCTCTGACTCATGGACAAAGTGGTTCATTAGACAGAGTTTGATTTAAAAAAAAAAAAAAAGTTAATTGCATGCCACTTGGTGACCCTGATGGCTTTGGATCAGGATGGGCAGGAGACACTTGGGCAGGGCTACTCCATCAAGGCTTATTTTCTGGATATAGACTTAAAATATTGTATATACGAGGGTTTCTGATGCACATGCCCAATGTAAAGGAGAGGGATGAATGCAAAGGCTGCAGAGGTGGGTCATGATCTATGTAGATCTATGATCTACAAATCTTAAAATATACTTATCTTTGTTCTGGTTTCAGAGAAGAGAGGAGTCCACAGTGTGTAAAACCTCAAGCAAGTCTCAGAAGCATCCAGGCGATGGCAGAGTGTAGATGACAAAAAGCAAACCACTGCCTCTTTGCAGACATTCAGGGTCTCATTTGCAAAATGCGCCCTCTCCTTCCTGACTTCAGGTCAGCAGCTCCATCTGCTTTGTTGTGCTTGCAACACACTGTGTCACTTAACAGGAGGAATGAGATGGGAGCTTGCTAGTGCTTTGTCTCATCTCCCCACCTGGTTTTGGCCACCTGTTGTCCTTTCTATTACGTCCCTTGGGAAGCCATTTAACCTCACTCCATTGCTCAAAGCTACACCAGCTCCTGCCAGCAACTTGCCTGACCTGAGCTCCGTAAGTCCATGCTGGCACCAACCATGGGATGGGCAGGGACTGAGTGCTACGGGGCAGAGATCAGCAGACAATCACCACTGGCATGCTTGGGAAGAGACGCCACCACTGAGGCCAGAGAAGGGGAAGGAGGACCAGACTCCTTGGACAGGAGGCAGGTGACACTAACACTATGCCCAGCGAGGAGGCACCAGAGGAAGGATGAAGCCTTCTTCTTCTCCCTCCTTGGACTTGACATTGATGCCTACTTAGGACAGCCTGCTGCAAGTGGAGCTCCTGAAATAGCTGCCTGGCTCATGGGGTGGACCTAAATGCCTTCTGGAGTCTAGAAAGGGAGTTTAGGAAATAGTGTCATCACTGCTTCATGATGAGAAGAGAGCAATGTTCAAGTTGGCAACACTGAGCAGGTTTGAGGTGGTTGCTGGAGGCAGTGATGGGTGGTGGTAGGCTTTTCAGGACTGACTCTGAGATCTCTCACTCTCATCCAAAGTGATGTGGGGAGAGGAGCAGGTGGTCCCTGGCTCTCCATCCACCCCCATCCCTCCGAGCCACACCGTGGGGAACCACCCAGGAGCATCTGGGGGTCCCCAGCATCTCACCAAAGAGCTCCATGGAAAAGCAGAAAAACTAAAGCCGGAAGAGAGCAAGGAGTCTCCAGGGAGACTTGCCTCAACTGCAAACACAGAGGTGGCTGAGGAAGCGACGAGCTGAAGCGAGCAGCCCCTCCTCGTGTGATTGCAGCTCCTCACGCCTCTGCTTTATGTTCAGTTTTAAACCTGAGATCATTTGGTTTTGTCACGGGTAGTTTGATTTAAAGATAGAAACGAATGACAAGAGGAGGAACAAGGGAAAGGGAGAGAAACCATGTGGACCCAGAAAAGAAAAAGAAAACAACACTCCAAGGATGACACAGGACACAGACATGCACGAACACAGACCCCTGAGGTATCAGCTTTGCAAACTAGTGTGAGACAAAGAGAAAGCGAAGAGAGCTGCAGGGAGAGATGTGCTTTGCAGTGGAGGCAGCTCAGTGCCTCCAGCTTCAGAAAGCAGCTTCTCAGCAATCCTGACATTGGGGTTTGGGGGCAAGAGCTTGGCCTCCCACCAGATGGGAGGAAGCAGCCAACCATCTCCAAAAACAAGTCACTTCTGCCCCTCCATGTGCTTGCAGAGCTTCATGTCTGGACAGCTTATCATCCGCTGGATGGAGGGGAGCTGGCCTGGAGGGCAACAGGACCGGGAGAGTCCCGGCACCGGCAAACGCGCTGCCCCTGAGTTTCTCAGGTGTGAAACAAAGGATCTGGGAGGCCAGAAGAACTGCCACCCCCAAAGGCAGAGTGGTACCCATACCTCCCAAGCAAGGTAGCTGAGGTGAGGGGGAGCTGAAGGGCTGGAGCAGGCAGGCAAGAACCTTCCAACAAGAAATCCCAACTACCGCCAGCCTCCCATCCCTCCCTCAGCTTCCAACGCCTTCCCCACGCAGCTGGAGCTGACATCCTGCAGCCTTCCATCCACTTCAGGTGACTCCCACCTCTCCCCCTCCAGCAAGGATGGGCAGCCAAAAGGAGGGGAGGGGAGGGGAGGAGAGGGGGTATGACTGGGATTGCGTGACAGCCAGGATGGGGACAATGCCTAGGACGGGATGATGGCTGGGATGGTAGTAATGGCTGGGATGGAAATGAGGAGAAACAAACAGAGACCAAGGTGGGAAGAAGAGGCAGCAGCTTCCAGAAGAGTTTTCTGGCTCAGTTTGTGTCATAAGAAGGTTTTATGGTTTGCTCGTTTACTTATTCATTTCTAGAAAAAGTGCCCAGAAGAGTCTCCTGTTCCCTTGTTGGTATGCCCAGAGAGAAGGGGGGAAATCTGTGTTGTGGACATTAACTATAGAAGGAGCCACAGGCCTCAGATATTGCTTAGAAACTCATATTTCAGATTTAAATACCATACACAGTAAAAATAGAGCTGAAAGTACCGCCCCACATTGTCTGCAAATCATTGCCAGAATGAACAGCTTCAATAAATTAAAAACAAAACAAAAAAATTGAAATATTATTTACGTCTCAATAAAAATTGCAGTAAAACCATTTACCTTTTCTTTTGTGTGTGTGTTTTCGGGTTTTTTTTCTTTATATTATATATAATATATATTTATATATGTATAGGGCTGCTCCAGTGCAGCATTTTTAGGATACTTAGCCAGAGAAATACAGCGGAGCATGCTTAGTGCACCAGGGTGCAGGGAAGGGGCAGCTGTGGTCCCCCCTCCGGGTGCTGTGCCCCATCACCACAGCCAAAACTGCAATCCCTGCCACTTCCCCAACTCTTCCCACTTGAGTTTTAGGCCCGAATTTTGAGTGTGGGGTCTCTGAGGGCTGGGGCGCCCTGGGGATGGGCGGGGAAGGAGCAGGGTGAGTGCAATAGGGACACTGAGCATCCGCCGCTATGTTTCCCGACTCTGGAAAGACTCGTCCACCTTCGCTTCGGTTTCAGCGCTTGCGCTCCCGAAAATGCACGCGCAAGTATAAATACACCCCCCGACCCACCGCCCCCCTGCCCGCTCCCCCCGGCTTAAATATCCCCCCTCCCCAGCCCCGTCCCAGGTCTCCAGGCACCCCGGATGAGTGTCAGGACACCTCGATGATCTCCATGCTGCCCGAAAAGCTGGACTGTTTGCTGATTTTGCCCAGCTCTTCCCGAGCCCTGCCCTCGGACATGGTCTCCTCGAATTCCATCTGGCAGCTCCTTCGCTTGAATTGCTTCTCGGCGCCGGCCTCCTCATGCCAGCTGTGCCGCCCGTCCCGCGGCTCGGCCCGCGCCTTGTCCCTCAGTCTGATCTCGCACCCGGCCGCCGCTGCGCCGCAGCCGAACGGCGGCGGGTACGGGCCGGCGCTGGCAAACAGGCCCCCGCCCGTGCTGCCGCCAGCGCTGCCGGAGTCCTTGCCGAAGTACCAGCCAGCCTCGCCCGAGGCAGCGCTGGGGGACTCCAGGTGCACCCCGCTCCAGGCATTGGCGGCGGCGCCGGGCGCGGCGGGCGGCTGGCCGAGCCGCGGGGGCAGCCCGTCCTCGGCGCCGGGGCTCTTGCGCGTGGCGCAGGTCCCGCCGACGTTGAGGCTGAGCCCGTGGGCCGGCGAGCCCGCTGCGTGCCGGTGCTTCCGCCGCTGCCTCACCTTGGCCTCCAGCAGCAGCTCGGGCCCCGTGGGCCGGTCGGGGCTGTCCGCCCCTGGGGAGAAGGGGCTCAGGCTGCCCGAGCCCGAGGGGCTGTCCAGCTTGCAGAGTTTGGGGGCTTCCCCGGGTCCAGGGGGCCCGGGGGGGTCCTGCCGCAGGCCGGGGGAGTAGGCGGACTTGATGTCCAGGGAGAAGGAGCGCTTCAGGCGGTTGGTGTCCTGGATGCGCTCGGAGGAGAGGTGCAGGCCATTGAGCCCCTGCTGCAGGCTGGTGGGTGACAGGACCTTTGGGGTCCCGCCCTGCCGCTCGGGGTCACTGGTGGGGGACGCCGAGCCGGTGCTCCTCGGCACATCCTCGGCCTTCTCTGAGGTAGGTGTTGGGGGATGCCGGCTGCTCTCAGCCACCTCTGCCGGGTCCTGCTGCGCGTCTCCCTCGCTCCAGTCGCCCTTGGACTTCAGGGCCTTGAGGAGCTTCAGGCTCCTCTCGTACTCCAGGAGCTGGCCCAGGAAGTTGAAGTTGGGCGAGATGGATGGGCGACGGTCCTTAACAAACCTGCCGAGAGGCACAGACAGCCCCGTTGGTGCTTGGTCCTTCAGTGGGCAACCCCTCCTCTCTCAGCCTCTTTAGGGAGAAGAGGCATCATCAAGAACCTTCTGACCAGACCCTCCAAGGAAAAGGATCTTGGGGAACCACGGGGCCTTGAGATGCCTGAGGATTGGAGCTGGGACTGCCTCCCCACTCCCTTTTACCAATCCCAACCATTCCTTGTTGCGTGCATTTTATGACAGGAGGTTTAGTTTGGTTTTACTGGGACCCAACCATGGTAAGATAGAGCTTCAAGGAGCCCGGACCCTCTACTTCTAGGCTCAGCCTGCTTTCCTTCCCTGGAGCGAAGCATACTGGCATATGTACCCTCAGGGGAAAACTCACCTGTAAGCATCATCTGATGACATACCCATGGTCTTCATGATGTAGGCGATGGCAATGGTGGCTGACCGGGAGATCCCAGCCAAGCAGTGCACAATCACCTGGCAGCTGGACACCTTAGCTTTGTCTGGAGCATGGCAGAGGAAACAGAGAGAACAATGATGGTGAGCAAAATGGTTCCAGCCTCCCTCCCCAAGCCCCAGCCCCTCTGCGTGACAGGACAACAGTTGCTGCGAGCAAGACCAGGGAGGACAGAAGAGTTCAGGTTGTGAAGGCTGAGAATTGGAGGGTCTGCAACCATAAGAAAAGCTCACCAATGAATTCAATGGACTTGTCCAGCCAGGGAAGCAGCTTCTCACAGTAGTTGTCATTGACAGGAATGCGCATGAAGTGACTATCACAGATGAAGTCTGGCTTGGGACAGGAGTTGCTGGCATTTAGGACATAGCTTATCCCATTCTGTGTCATCAGGTCCTGGTGGGAAAGAAGCCATCAAATGATCAGCTGAGTTCAGCCCTCACCATGTACTGAAGGTCTGTCTTGCCATGCATGCTCCCTGCCTTTTCCCATCCCAGCATTTTCTCCTGTGGGTGTCCTAGTGCTGCCTTGGCCTAGTTGATGATAATACAGCAGAGATCGGCTGAAAAGATTGTATCAATTTAGATGACACAGGTTTCAACCTCAGCAGATCTTTATTTTGGTCTAAGTAAAGTGAGCAAGGCCAAAGACACCTGGAAAGGGGTTCCAGAGGGAAAAACCCAACAACCCCAGTATGAGAGAAATAGGAAAATACAAGAAAAAAAAAAGCAAAAACTCTGTCTGAACGCTGTGAATGTATCAGCTGAGGGAGAAAGGAGACATCTCACCAACAGGGTGGAGTGAGTCACTGGTAGCACCCTACATTGACCAGTGTGGCCAGAAGATGCTCTATCCATAGACAATGGTGAGGCCTTGTGTGGGCAATGCTTCTCTTCTCCAGCATGTGGCCACATTGTGGGGACGGCAGAAAACAGTTCCAAAACATGGACAAAACCCTCCAAGGAGGTAGGGAGGGAAGGAAACCATCGATTTCCCTGCCTGGCATTGGCTGCTCAAGATTTTGGCCCCAGGATTTCAGCCCTGTGTCTCCAGTGGCCCATTCCTGCCCTTCCAGCAGGCTTGATGGAGCCAGTCCAGCTCCCAGGCTCACATTCTTGTCATTTTTTTCTTTCCTTTCCTTCTACTCCCTGTACATAATTTCTCTCTCCCTCCTTTCTGTCTCCAACTCCAGTCTGGTGTCATGGTCTCCCCTCCCTCCTTGCCTGCCATGGATGAGGACACCTGGCTGGCTCCCTCATGGCTGCAGTAGGCAGATGCTTGGCAGCACTTTATCTACAATTCCTCTTTCTTTCTTCTCATCATTACTTTTCCTTTAAACAAAATTCCTTCCCTGGTGTGACATCACAGCACAGCCTTTCTGGCACCTTTTAAAGGGCACTGTGTGGTCTTCCCACTGGGAAGGAGAGGAATCCTTAACACCTTCACCCCTCTGCATGTCAGGGGTCCCCAGTGGGACAGGGCAGCGTGTCCCCTCAAGAGGGCTGTACCTTGTTCAGGACATCCTTCTGGGAGCCCAGGTAGAGATGTGGCAGGATGCGCGTGGGGCCAACGTTGGCCACAGGCAAGCACGGCTGGGAGATGCTCATCGGCAGGATGGCAGCTGGCTTCCCCTCACACAGCCCTGGGAAGCAGGAGGAGAAGGTGGCAAAGCCTCCTGTGGAGAAAATGGGGACATTGAGCTTGGAGCAGCACGGCTGAGGTCATCAGTAGCTGACATCCCGAGGCCCGGGCTGGGGACAAAGTGGTGACAACCCTGCAGCCCTGAGAACAGAGCCTCCAGGGGCAACAAGCCACCAGCCACCACCAACCAGTGCACATACATTGTGATGGCCATGACACACACACAGAAAGGAATGGAGAACCAGCTCTGACTTCTCCCTGTCACAGCTGGATATTAATGCACATGTGAGGCATCTCACACCCTCACCAATGAAGCTCTTCTCAACTTCATTCAGACAAATAACAGGAAGAGACAGTCCTTTTCTTGGCTCTCTACTATTCTGAGGACAGGATCACCTTTTGATACCAAAACCCATCAGGGCAGGATGACAACAAGCCAACCCACTGAGACACAAAGCTCCTGGGGCCTGGGAGGTCAGCCCAAACCTTTCTGCACCAGCTACACTTCGTGATCACATCGTGATTTCTGAGAGACACCCCTCTGTCCAGCCCTGCCAAGCCCATGATTTCTGACACACCATGGTGCCATAATGGTACTTGCAGGCCACTGCTGTTTCTCATGCTCTGACCTTGCTGAATGTGACAGCAAGCAGTGTCCAGTTTACTGAACTGGGCTGTTGGGCAGTCATACTCAGCTTGAGCATCTTGAAACCCAGTGTTGAAAGAAAACCCCCAGCTGAGGTTGCAGTAGCTGGCATGTGACAGCCAGAGGTATTGTCACAGTGTCTGGCATGGTCAAAAGCCTGAGAGCCAGTCCTGAAAGCTTGAGCAGGGCTGCAAGCCTTGCTCTGCTTGCACAGCAGGCAGCAAGGAGAGCTGGAAAACTCCCAGTGCTGTTGCATGTCCTGCACAATTGCATAAGACCACTGATCCTGATTTGCTCTCACTTGCTGATCCTGTACTCCAGGACAGAGCCAGGTCTGGCTGGCAGTGGCCTAATTCCACTCCCCTCCAGCTGAGGACATCTGGGTGGCAGCTTCATGCAATGGAGAGGAGCTTGAGTCATATCTGCCTCAAGTCTCCCTTGAGGTTTTCCCAGTTATGTGAATGAGCAGATGCAGCTTGACATCACCCAAAGGGCAGAGAGGACTTGGGGGCTTGAGTGCCTTTGACTGTCAGAGGGACCAGTATGCTCCCACAAGATCCTTCTGAAAGCCCAAGTCTCCGGACTGAGCACCCTGAGAATCCCTGGCCCATCTCCACAGCTTAACAAGACCTTTTAACAAGCCAGTCCCTCTCCCCCTTGGAAGCAGGGCAGCCTTGGCATATTCTCAGTTTACCTTCTCCAACACTTTGGCAACATTTCTGCTGATCCTCCTGGAGCACCCTTTTGGCTGCTGGTGTGACACCCACACTCTAGAGAGGCATGACTGGTGCTGCAGACAACTCATCTGACATGTTTGTGAGATGAAGGTGATGGAGAAGCCAAAGGAGTGCACAAAATCATGCTCACACCACTTGGGAACATCCAAGGTCCTCCATCACACTCCATCTCAGCACCTCCTGGTGTCAGCTCCCACTGGCCTAAGGAAAAGGTGTCCTTCAACAAACGTCTTTCCTCCCCTCTGTTTTCTTGTCTGGCAGCTAACACACCTCCCAGCTTTAAAGCCCGGTAAAGACAGGAGGGGTAGAGTTAAAGCACCTTATCTTTTCCAGCACTTCTTTTTCTCTTGCTCCCTCCAAAATGACATCACCCCTCAACTGGGACATTAAATCAGAGCAAAAGCAGGAGGCCCAGCACAGGTGCAGCATAGCTCTGGTTACTGCTCATCCCTGCACTGTGGCCCCCTTGCCAAGGGCTGTCCATCGCTAGCCAGAGCTCTGCATGGACACATGCAACCTCCCTGCTTGCCCCGTGCTGATGCCTGGGGGATGCTGGGGCAGAAACCCTTGGGAAGTGTTTCCTTCAGCTGCCCCTAGAGAAGCCTGCAGCACTTGAGCTTGAGTGGGGCACAGATCTGACCCTGGGCTTGTGTGAAACAACATGGGAATTTTTCTTGAGCAGGGCGCACACAAATGCAGCCCCAGGGATCAGTGCCTGCTCTGGTCCATAGGTGCCCACCTCTTGCACTCACTCACATCCATCAGGAGCTGCCCAGGGCAGTGGATGGGTCTGTATGGCTCTTTAAGGTGATCTCATAGTTCAAGCAGGTCAGGGCATGCTGCTCTCTGCCCATTGCCTGTGCCCACCACACTCAGCTGGCAGCAGATCCTCTGCCTGGGGAAATCCAGGCAGGAGCTAAGGGGGCTGTGAAGCAGGCAGGGATGTCTGGAGAGTGGCAGCAGCACCCTCAGCTGCAGTGCCTACCTGGGCAGGCTGCCGCAACTGGAGGATGCTGGCACGTGAAATGATGCCCATAGCTCAGCTCACTTGTCCTAAGCAAAGCCTCAGCCCAGTGTCTGGGAGTCCAGGCATGCTCCCAGTCCCCCTGTCCTCATCTCCCCCATACTTGCAGCTGCTGAGGGCAGTCTGGGCTTGGGGGAAACCCTAGAGATGGGGCCAGGTACTTGACACCATCCCAACATGGAAGCGACGCTCACCCCACCCTGCAGCGGCTGCTCCCGCGTGCCTTTCATTTTTAGAAAGTGAAGCAGCTCTTCAAACAATCCCAAAGGCAGTGAATGTCCCTGGCTGGGCTCCAACTGATACTTGGGCTTTCCTCCCCTCTATGCCCCAGGCCATGGATCCCAGGTTTTGCTGGGAGAGAGCAGCAGAGCACAATGAGGTGAGGAGCCAGGGTAGCATCAGTTCTAACCTTTCCTCTTTCTTTCACAATGCTCAGGCCAGGAGCACCATTTCTCTTGGCACGTGTGGAATCAAGCCTAGGAAGGATTTCTGTCTATCATGGAGCGGGTGTTAGGGGATCTCTGGTTTCTTTTGGATGCTCCCCCACCCTGGTGAGGGCTTGGTAGGGAGGAGCTGGTCCTTGTGTGGCACAGCCCAGTGAGCTGCTCCTGGTTCCAGCATGGAGGGCTCTCAAAACCATTCTCTAGAAAAAACACTGCCTGCCTGCCTACTGCAATTACCTGAGGCAGAAATTATGCCCAGGAAGAGAAGTGGGAACTGGAAGGGAAGGGAACCAGAACAAAAGTGGGGATGCTTTCACTGCTGCTGCTGAAAATGGAGGAAAGAGGAGCCAAGAACCAGCATCAGACAGGTTCTAGGAGGCCTAGGAAGTGAAAATCACCCTCCTGCAAGTGAAAATCACACTGAGGCACAGGATGTTGCAGCAACTTAGTGCCAGAAGAGTGCAACAATGGGGACCTTGTATCTCCCTCACCCAAGGTTTCACTCACAGGGTGCTGACCACTCTTCCACCTCCTGCTGTGTCCTGCAGAGGTGGGCCAGCCCCCAGCCCTACTCTGCATGGCCCTTCTGTCAAACAGAGGAGAGGGGAAAACACTACACCTTCTCCCCTATCCCCATCTCTGCCAGGCCCTCCCCTCTGCACATTTTCCAGCTGAACATATATGATAACCACCAGTGAAACTGGATTTATTGTGAGAACAGATGCTGCAGAGGGAAGCCTGTCCATCAGGCTGGGGGAAGATGCCAGCAGCATCTTTGAGCAGGCTCCTGTGGTACCTGCACTGCTGCAGCTGTTGGGAGCTGTGTGACTCCTCCCCTCCAGCAGCAAAGGGCACAGGGAGGAGGCTCTGCCCTCTGCCAGGCCCTGCACCAGTGCCTACCTACGGCTGCAACCAAAGGGAACAAAAACAGACAGGGAAGGAGATTACAAGATGTAAAGACAGAGATGTTGCACTCCTGAGCTGGGACCCTGACACAGCTGGGGAAGTCTCCACTGCCCTGGTTGTCACCTTCAGCTGGTTTCTGGGGACATCCTAGTCATAGCTGGGTCACTGACACCTGTGAGTTGCACTGTGCCTTTCTCTGCCAAGGCTGGACAGTAGTGGTGGTGCAAAGAAGGTGACACAGAGGGTGACTGAGTCCTGGCTAGGGACAAGGATGTGGTGTGGCATTATTTTCTTCTGGTGGTAAGCCTTGGCTTTAGGGATTTACAATCCATTAAGCTGCATGAGATGCTAACAGAGACACTGCTGAGGATAAAAGGAAGGTGTGGGACACATGAAGCATGGACATCCCAGCTCCCTGTTGTTCCCTGTGTGCTTCCCTGCACTGAGGCCATCTTTTTAGGCTGGAAGTGTAAAGTGGAGCTGGGGCTTGAGAAACCTCTCACACCTTGCTCTGATGGCTGCACTCTGCACATTCATCTCCCGCCCCATGGACTCACCAGCTCCTTCAGAGGCCTCTGAAAAAACCCAACAGCTCTGGCCTTAGTGCTGTGCCCCGCTGACAGCAAAAAGCTGCAAAAGGGCTACCCAGGGCACCTGCCTCACCCGAAAACTGCTCTTTAAGAGAGCCACACGCCTCTTGAACACCCCCAGCCCCATGAGTCTCATAGAAGTTCCCCTAGGGACACACTGAGCAGCATGTCCTATTCAGCAGCCTCCCCTATGCATTGCAGGCTCAAAGATCCCCACCAAGACACAGGGCAGAGGTGACATGTCACAACTGCTGTGCCATCAGTTTGTGGCAGCAAGGAGGAGGGGATCCGGAGCTGGAAATCCTCCCTGGGCCAGCAGCTGTCACCCCCCACTCCTCACCTCCAGCTGTCACACCGGAAGCTAGAAGGAGACCTGCAGGGCTATTAAAGATGTGTTTTACAGCCCACCCTCATGGCTGCAATAATGAGAGTTGGAGAGCAGCAGCCGGAGCTGTTCAGAGAGCGGCTCCCCAAGCAGCTGCCAGAGGTTTTGCGGCAGCCCGCAGCCTCACCAAGGAGTTTCGCGCCCGTGCCTGTGCTGAGACCCTCTGCCCGCTAGAGCTCCTGGCAGCGGAGGGGGCTGAGGGAGGCCAGGCTCTGCCCGGCTCTCATTAAAATGCCTGTGGTGGCTGGGAGCTGCTGCCAGGGCGGCACGTGGCAAGGAGCAGCGGGGCATGCAAGCGAGCAC